TGATCTCATGAGTTATAAGGGAACCCATAAGCTCATCCAATCCAAGTGTGGAGAGATTTTTGGCTTCTATAATGGTCGTGACCTTTGCTTCTCAATTCTTGGGTAAACACCTAAGAATTTTTCTTACCAACTCACTGTTAGTATAAGTTTTGCCAAGAGATTTCAAAAAGTTTACAATTTCAGTAAATCTAGTAAACATAGTTGAAATAGATTCATCAGAGTTCATTTTAAACAATTCATAACTATGAACAAGCATATCAATACGAGATTCCTTCACTTGGGTTGTACTTTCATACGTTACCTCAAGTTTGTCCCAAATTTCTTTTGCCGAATCACAACTTGAAATTCTATTATACTCCTTAGAGTTTAGTCCACAAACAAGGGTGAGTTTGGCTTTAGCATTGGCTTGCAATAATTTATGATCTCTCTCATCACATTCATCTTCAGTTTTAGGTACACTAATATTGTCTACTAATTTGGTAGGAATTTTTGGACCTTTGGTGACAATAATCCACATGGCATAATCAGTGGCTTGTAGATATAGGGTCACCTTATCCTTCCAATGACTATAGTTGTTTCCATCAAACAATGGCGGCCTATTTGTGGCTTGTCCTTCAGCTAAGGTTGCCATGGATTGAAACTCCTAGATGGTTAAATCTAAAACAAGAGTCTAGACTTTGATACCAATTGTTAGCCAAAAGACAACCTAAGAGGGAGGTGAATTAAGTTTTTACAATTAAAAATTAATAATATCCTAATAAAAATTATGACTAGTACAATAGATAAATATAATTAATAAAATAAAAATAATTAAAACAAGTGTTTTAACAACTATGTCAGTTGATGATTCTAGCACAATGAAAATATGAAATATAGCTACAGCAATTTAAATAAAATAAAGAGATAAGGGAGAAAGAGGCAAACAAATTTATAATGGTTCGGCTTCAACTCGGCCTACGTTCACTCCTCAAGCTTCACTTGAGATTTTCCACTATGCGCTATCGTCACGGGGGTGCTAGCAACCTCTTTACAAATGGAACAATCCTCCACAGATTTTACATAGACTTTCTAAGTCAAGAATACTGAGTGTACTACACTCTTATAAGGTTGAAAAGAAAGTGTTTTTGCTTTCACAGAAAGTTACAAGAATTATCTCTCAAAGATATATATAAAAATGAAGCTCTGGTTTTTCTATAAATCTCACACAGGAAAGATGGACTTAAAGCTATACATCTCAGTGTATCATTTCTGAAAGATGATGTAAACAAAAATTGAAAAACACTCCTAAGAGAATTTTTCAGAAAATAGATGTGAGTGATTATATATAGATCAAAGAATATTTTCTGATTTTTTTTGGTAACTTGTTTACATTAGAGACTTTGGTATATATAATGAAACTTATAACCGTTTATAGCCATTGTATTCATTTGAATTTATAATCATTGTACTCCATCATTACTAATTTGAATATCTTTCATTCTATCATTACAAATTTGAATAGCTTCCACTTGAACCTTTTGAACTGCTGTTGTGCTGGGTTGTTTGAACCTCTGTTGTGGGTTGTTTAAACTCCTGATTTAATCAAATATTAAATACATTCTAACAACATTTAGGATAAAGGTTTAGGTGAAAAATAATGGGACAAAATAAATTTTGATTCTATTTTTCTCTTTCAAATAAATCATTAAAATAAATTTTGATTCTATTTTTCTCTTCCAAATAAATTAAAAACATAATTAAATAAATCATCAAAATAAATAAGTCTAACATATGAGTATCTCAGTGTTTCCCTAATTTGTATATAACTTTTTTTCGACTCTTAATGTTTATATTTTTATAAATTCCCACCAAGCTTCTCACGAAAATTGCAAGGTAAGCCTTCTTTTTTAGAAGGATATTTACCAATAAATCTCATCTCAGAAGCAAGTACTCTAATTAGTCCCAAGTTTTTTCTATTGATCTATTAAATCCTATTAATGGAGAGTTTCTTTCCATGTAATCCTATTTTTTATTTTGGTAATGTTTTGGTGGACAATTATACCCTTTTATTAATGTGATATGTATGATGTGACACTCTAATATGACAGGTTTAATGTGACACTCCAACGATATGACACTCCAAAAAAATTAAAAACTCCTTAGTGTACTTTTCCTAAATATGACAATGTGACGGGTATGATGTGACATTCTAAAATTTTTATTCCAAAAAAAAAAAAAAAAAACTTAGTGTATTTTTCTCAAATGTAACAATGTGGCGAGTATGATGTAATACTTCAAAAAAAAAAAAAAAAAAAAAAAAAAACCTCCATAGTGTATTTTTCTCAAACGTAACAACATTGCGGGTATGATGTGACATTTTTAAAAAAATTAAAAACTCCTTAGTATACTTTTCTCAAATGTGACATGTGAAACTCCAATGTAACGGGTATGATGTAACACTCTAAAAAAAATTTAAAACTTTTTAATGTACTTTTTTTTTAATATAACACTAACGTGGCGGATATGATGTTATATTAAAAAACTCTTTAGTGTATTTTTTCCAAATGTGACACTCTAATGTGGCGAGCAAATGAGTTATTACACATCCAAAAGGAATAAATGGATCACAAGAAAAAAATATCAGACTATATAAATTACAAGTACAAAATATGGAACTTACTGGTCAATCTCGCTTTTTTTATGTGTTTTATTACTATTATCTTAATTATTATCTTAAATGCTTATATCTTAATTATTTCTGTCCATGACAGTTATTTACCAATAGTTTTATTATCCAAAAAAATTCAACCGAATGTACAAGTGAAGGTTTTTTAAAATGTCCAATTTGTCTTAAAGAGAAATATTTTGTATGTGTTTTTATAGCTTATTTACGTTTAGCTTGATCAAAAATTATATTTTTTTTATTAAAAACATAATTATTACTTCCTCCGTCCCAAAATAATAGTCTCTTTTGAGAAATTCAACTTTTTTTGGTAGTATAATTATTGTACTTTAAAAAAATCAATTTTCCAAAATTATCCTTCGATAGGATTTTTATTTTTTTTTTGGCATATCAATTGTCATAATTGTACTTTTTACGGTGTTAATTAATTTAAAAGATGGGTAAAATAGAAAATTCATATTATTTTAATCCTTAATTTTTTAGAATGGATTAATATTTTAGGATAATGAAAAATGAAATAACAAACTAATATTTTGGGACGGTGAGAATATTAATGATCCTAGCATGTTTAGAAAAACACACTAGATTTTGCATACTAAATTCGTAGATATGAGCGTCTCAGTATTTTCTTAATTCGTAGATAATTGTTTCCCTACTCTTAATGTTTTCATTTTTTTAAGTTTTTTTTTTTATTTTTATTTCTTCTCATCTTGATTGTAACCAATTAAGTATTTAAATTAAATTTTGAATTTTTTTATCCGATTTGCTACCAATGGTTTTATTATCCAAATAAATTCAACCGAATGTACAACTGATTTGGAAAAAAAACATTTAATTTCCATATATGGTTGTTAATTTTTTTTTGAGGTTGTATGAAAATTCTCAAGAATGTACAATTGATTTAGTATCGCTTTTTTGTTTCTTGGTGTAACCAAATACTTTTAGGTTGAAGCATACACATATTTTATAAAGCTTTAACCGACTCTTTTGTAAAGCATACATATATTATCGATAAAGTGTATGGAAATATAAAGTTTGTTTTGTTTATGTGGTTATAATTTGATTGGTAACAGTAATACAAGCAGGTATGCATTGTTTTGTGTTTAATTTAATTAATTTTTTTTTTTTAAGATTGTAAAATATTAGCTAGTATGCATTCATTTTTTTTTAGATTGCGGAGCACTCGTTGGTGTGCATTGATTTATTTGATTTGTTTGAAATTACAGAGTATAGACTGGTACGCATTGTTTGATGTTTAATTTTCAATTTAATTTATTGAGATCGCATAGCACTTGCTGGTGTGTTTTATTTGGTTTTTAGTATTTTTTTTTTTTTAAGATTATAGAGCGTTAACAAATGTAAATAGTTTTAATTTGTGTAAATAGTTTTTAGTGTTTACAATTTTTTCTTAACTTGCTTGGCAGGTATGCTTCCATTATTTTGATTTGCAATATGTTTTTATTTTTATTTCAATTCTGTAGAGTGCGTGGCACAAACAAAATTGTTAGAAGTTCTTTAAGAAGAATAATATTTCTTTATATTAATTCAGTGCCTTTATCAAATTTTAACATTATACATATAAATTACAACTGTATCTTCATCTCAACTTAATTTACACCGTGCACAAGTACAATATAAGTGTGTATACGCATATAATCCTAAGGGGTTAGTTGAGCGATAATGATTTGAATATAAGATTAAATGTCTCAAATTTAAGTCACCCAAATAAGTCATTGAAAGTACTTTTTTTTTTTTAAATGTGCCTATACGCAGAATTTTTTTTTTTTTTTTTGCAAATTTTATTTCTAACTACATTTATAATTTATTGATCAACCAAAATTTTACTTTATAATTTTCTACGTAAATTAATGATAGAAGTGCCGGACTGTTCCAACTAAAAACACGCATCAACAGATTTGCAACGAGTTTTGGTGGGGCTGACGTGTTTTATTACTAAAATCATAGGAGTGAAATATTATTATTTTTAATTAAAAATATGCTATTTTGATTATTTAAATTTGAAGTTGTTGTTGGTCCATTCACGAATTCACTCTAATGATTTGAAGCCTTTATTATATAGGCTCCACTGTGAAAATTATTAATATAAAATATTAAGATTAATCACATACCAGATCATAAAATCATGTAAAAGAAAAAATAAATAAATAGCATAACCTTAAGAATAAATTATTAATTTTTTATATGCTTTTTGATATGATTATGTGGCTATTAATATTTGATGAATTTTATTTTTTGTATGAATAATTTTCTCAGCAAGCGTGACAAGATGAATAATTTAAATTATCAAAATAGACTTACAATAAAAATTAAAAATGTATTGGAGAGAAACTTTGTCATATTATCATTCTTTTTTTTCAACAAGTCATATTATCATTCTAATTAATCAATATCCTTTAACCTAGAAATAAAGACGTACAAACAGAAGTACAGCAAATTAATCAGAAGGGGTGATTGTCAAGTGATTCTACCTTTTTCTGTAAGTCACTAAATTCAGTGGTTACAACAAGAATCAAACAATTAGGAAACACTTAAATATTTTGGAAATTAAATGAATTTGAATATAATTTCTTCGATTTCATCAGAACGAAAGATTTAGATTAGATGGTCATCATCATCTTCACAAATTCTTCATAATTAACTTGGCCATCACCATCCAAATCAGCCTCTTTAATCATCTGATCGACCTCTTCATCGGTTAATTTTTCCCCCAGATTGATCATCACGTGCCTCAGCTGCACAAGATCAAAAATTCAACTATTTTATTTTGAAGAAAGTAGAATCTTTTTTGGGGTTTTAGCAATTAAAAATTCAATTAAAAAAGTCCAAATACAGATGCACTTTATGTTTTATATGAATAAGGGTAGTGTTCATTGCATGACAAACAAGTTTTATTATGCAGATACCATTATAAAATTATTTGTAAAAACAACTGTAAAAACATGGATTAAAATATTTCATTTCATTAATTTCAATACCACTTTATTTAATACAATATTATCCTCTATCTACCCCCTAATTACATCATGCAAGATCATTATCACTTAGAAAAACCTTTCAATTAATGTTGACAATGGCAAGGTCAAACTCCCTACCTTATCACCAAAATGTTGATAATTAGTGCTGCTGTATGCATGTTTTGTATGTATTATCATGTTGAGATCATATTTTTTGTTTTCATTTCTCATACTTTTATATCTCAAGACTCTATCATAATTATAATCAGAGATATTCATCGTGTAATAAAGAGAAGATTTGAGACAAGAGACAAGAAAGCCGGAGAATAGAATAGAGGATCTACGTGACACGTTTGGGCAATGAATGCATACCAAAACTAAACAAGTAAAGACTAGCTGACCTCATTAGCTGAAATGTACCCATTTTGATCCTTGTCAAACACTTTGAAAGCTTCTTTAAGCTCTTCTTCTGCATCAGTCTCCTAGAATCAAACAAAAATGTCAAAATAGGTTTGGCAAAGACTTAGGCCAAGTTTGGCATGATCAAAAAAAGACAAAAAGTCAAAAAGTCACTATCCTATTTAAGTCACATCATCTTATTTAAGTCACTTCACCTCTCTAACACATCACTTCAAATCCAACCCAAACCCAACTCATATTTCATAAAAAATCAAAAAGTACACTTATTTAGTCTTTCCAAACTAAGTCTTAATAACGGCTCACTTTTTTACTTCAAAAAACAAAAACAGAAACAAAAGTAGGAAGTTTTAACTAAAAAAATGAAGCTTTTTTGGCCACCAAGTAAAAAAGTTGTCTATTTTTATTTTTTTATGTTTTTAATGGCTAGAAAGCATACTTTTAAGCTCTTTGTATACTTTTCAATCCCAAACAGGCCAAGCTTAGCTTCTTCTTCATTTTTTCTGTTTTTTTTACTCTTCCAACTATAAAAGCCAAGAAAAGTATGCTCACTTTCTTATAAAATGCATAAAGACCCAAGTAAGAATGAAAAACTACCAACTTCTTTAATATATCAACTTGATTCTATAAAAGTATAAACAATTCGATATTTTTATTGAAATGCAAGTGCATACAACAAAGAGTTTCCACTTACAACAACTTTCATTTATACCGGACACACTTCTACAAAAATTACAATTATTTTAAGTTATTAGTAATTATGTCGTCACCAATATTTGAATAAAAACCATTTATAGAACCAAAACTTTCAAGGTATAGTTATTTGAATTTAATTAATTATCGTAATGTCTTACCTTCATTTTATTGGCCATGAGGTTCAAAAACTCTGTGAACTCAATGGTCCCATTGCCATCAGAATCAACTTCGCTTATCATATCTTGAAGCTCTTCCTCCGTTGGATTTTGATCCAACGACCGAATCACCGTCGCCAGTTCTTCTACTGTAATGCAACCTTTAAAATTAATAACTTGTTAGTACGCCGAAAAAACAAACATACATAAATATATATATATATATATATATATAGAGAGAGAGAGAGAGAGAGCAATCTAATAGCATAGTTTAAAACTATACGATACGGAGTGCAAAGAAAATGAAATTATGAAGGTTTGATATTAAATTGATAGCAACATATACATGAATGTGTGTGTCTCTCTATATGGAAATAAAAGAAGACATACCATCTCCATCCTTGTCAAATAGACTGAAAGCTTCTTGGAACTCAACAATCTGGTCTGCATTCAATACATTTGCCATGTTGCTTGAGAGAGAGAGAGAGAGAGACCGCGGGGGGGACAACAACTTTGAGAGTTTGCTAGAGAGAGAGAGAGAGAGTTGAGTACAGCTTAATCCTAGCTGGGCTTTATAATGTAATATATAATGGGCTAGTGAGGGTAAATTACCTATATACCCTTAAAATTTGCTTAAAATACGAATTAATCTTATGTGGTTTGAAAAATTATAAACACATTCCTATCAAAAAAATTTATTTAACAGAATTAATTGAAAAGTAAAATTTTTAACTGTTCACCTATACAATAATAAAATTATCTAAATTATTAATTGAAATAAAATTTTAACATTATTAAAAATTGTTAATTAACTTAATGATTTATTAATAAAATGACATATTTGTTATAAAATTAGAAACCTTAGGAGACATAATGTAATTTTTAAAACCACAAGAAATAATTTATAATTTAAATAAATTTCAAGAGGTGTGTTTGTAATTTACCTGGCTAGAAAATGCTTTTCCAATATGTCATTAAAAAAATTATTTAAAATGGAAATGAAATGAAGGGTCAAATTATGCTTGTGAGTTGCGACTGTAGTTACATATTGAGATATTTAAGCCTCCGTTTATTCAGAAAAAAATATTTTTAAAAAAATATTTAAAATTTAAAATATGTTAATCAGATTCAATAAGCTTAAATTTATACTATATATTAAAATTTTGAATTTTTTTTTATTCACATTTGTAAGGCTACTAAATGCTTTCAATAATCTTATTTAAGTACAAGATAGCTTATGACCAGTTTTTAAAATTATTAGATATTTTCAAAGTATCACGTGTTTATATTTTTTTACTAATCATTATTCACCACACCGTCTCATGTTCCTCAATCAATATGGATAGAATTAGGAGAAGATTATGAGAGACCATGACCCCCTCCTTCTGTGAAAGATATTGTTTGCTTCAACAAAAATTATATATCTTACTCTTCTCCGACCTTGCATTCTCTTTTTATTTTGCACAAAAAAACTTCTTCATCCAATACCAAATTACTTCCATAGTGTTTGATTTATTTTTATTTATTTATTGTGTGTATATATAACTTACATATTATATATATGTGTGTGTGTGTGTTTGCTAGTGTATATGGCGAAAATTTTTAATTCAAATTTTGGCCTTTCTAATAATGAAATTTTGGTTCCATCAATCATCTAATACAAAATCATGAACCTCAATTTTTTCAACAATCATAATATCTTGAAACATCATATAGTCATCCTCCAAAAATACCCAACAACTTCCCGACTAGAGTTGGTGTTGAACCAAAATAAACTTGAGAGTAAATTGGGTGTTAATACTAGAGGATGGCAATAAAAAATAAATAACGTATTCATATGCTTATTATTATTGCTATTGTCCAAAACGAATCGAATGGCCAATTATCTTTCAACATGGTCCCTCGCTCTCCTCCAGCAGTCTCAGACCATGACCCTTCACTTGTTCTCCTATTCTTGGAATTTTTTATAAATTTGTTATCATTAATAAGATTTATGCATGGTAGCAGTATTTCTTTAAAAAAATAAAAATAAATTGGGAACAGCTGTAGGAATGGGATGTTTGGGGGACAGAGAGCATTCAAAGAGAAGACCGTGAGAGGGTAGGTTATGGGGAGGAGTGTAGTCTGTATGTAGTTTGCTTTGCTACCCATATTTTCAACCCAAAGAGCGCGCTCCGTTGCTTGCACGAGAGGTTTCTCCCATTTTTAACGACACCAACACCATTTCTGACTCTCTATTCTCTGCTCTGCTCCCGCACCCACACCCACACCCACACCCACGTATTTACCACGCTTTCCTTTTTTATTATTTATTTATTTATTATATTAGTTAGTAAATAAAATCTAATTATTATTGTATAAAAAAATTTAATCAAATTTATGGATGGAAATCAACTTAGTCGAGAATAATGATATTTGGCTTAGCGGTTGTATAGTACTTCTGTAGTGTGAGATCTCGAGTTCAACTCTTATTGAGAGGAGTTTGATATCATTTGTGATTGTTAGTTTATTTTTCTCCTATTATGCAGGTTGTATTGATTGTTAGATTTTCTAGCTATTGTGAATTAATGGCATATTAGATTTTGTAAATATTTCTCATAATGTAATTTTACTCTTTTAGTTATAGACAAAAAAAGATATCAACTAAGTCAAGCTCCACGTTACTCGTGTTCAATATCTCAATCCAAAAATTGATTTATTTTTTATTTGAACGTCTATAAATTACATTTTTTAAAGTAAGGGTTAATCACATTTTTAACTTTTGTGTTATTTTGGTCTCATTATTAACACAATGGCATATTTTGAATTTTTGAAGTGTAATGTTTTAAGTAAATTTTCATATTTGTTATTGATTTGAACAATAATGTCTATAAATGGATTTAGGTTGAGGGATCAAATTAAGACACTTTTCATACCTAAAGGACTAAATTGATAGAATTTAAATTTTGAGAACTAATAATAGTACACAATCAATATGCTATGGAAATTAAAAAATATGATTAAACCTTAAAGTAACAAACACGTTGAGACCATGAATTGCTTATTTCTTTTGTAACTGTAGAAAGATATGTTATCTATCCACAATAATTGTAGATATTCAAAGTTTACCAAACCAATATCAAGAAATAAAAATAAATTCAAATTGAACAATCAGTTACGTAAAAAAGTCAGAAAAGTGTATAGTAATAAACCAAACTAATTGATTAAGTTGGCCTGATCTCCAATTAGTTTAATCTGAGTATTCCAAGTATAGCAAGTCCGATTTCAAATAAACTCAAGCTTACTCTGTTTTTTGAAATAAAATCCAAGATAGAAAAAGAGACCAAATTTCAAAGAATCATTCAAAGCTATATGAGGAGTCCGAACTATGACATGAACAACCAAGTCAATAGCCATATCCAAGGTTCTGAAAAGCGGTTATGGTCGTCGTAAAGATGGCGGTAACACGGTTGCGATTGCGGGGTGTAAAGGCCGTAGTGTAACGGTTGCGATAATCGGAACTGTGAATTTTTTTATTTTTCGCACAATTTGAAAAAAACTTACCAATACTCATATTTTTTTTCCATGATTATATTTATTGGGTTAAAAATAAATATTGATCAATTTTTGTAAATTTTTAAGTATGATCATATTTTTAAATTACAATAAATTGAGTTTTTTACATTTTATTTTAATAATTAATGACTTTATATTATACAAAAAAATCAATCACTACTATTATATATAAAATAAACAATGGCAAAAGTAAAATAAATAACAACTTAAATATATATATATATATGTACATATTTTAACCAAGTCAAATAGATAATGACCACACTTATTATTATTATTTTCAAACAATATATAGATAGACATATACAAATAAAATGGTTTAGTGATAACAGCTGAATAGAATAGCATAGGTCTTGCAGCTTCAACAAATCAATAACATGTTCTTCATCTTCCCTCTTCTCTTTCTCTATCACTTGCTCCTCCATTTTCTCTCTTTATCTTTCCTTTTCCCCATTTTCAACTTTTTTTTGTATGTTTTTTCGAAAGAAACAGTTTGGAACCATTACGTAACGGTGCGTAACAGCCCGTTACGGCTGTTACGCCACCGTTACAACCGCTACGGCCGACACACCTGTGAATCTCAATCACACTGCAAAAGCGACCGTAACGGGTAGCGGTAACCGCTAAAACCGTTACGTAACGGCGTTACGTAACGGTTGCAGCCGCTTTTTAAAACCTTAGCCATATCTTAAAAATCATATGGAAAGAAATACCATAACTATTTTTTTTTTTTTATTTTGTGTTTCTAGATAATAATATGATTGTTATTCAATTCCCTATTCTTATAGAATGGTCTGGCTTGGTTTGTTGGGCCAACCCTTCACCAAATCAAGATTAAAAAAAAAAATTAATATAATTTTTTCCCATCTTTTATTCAAGGTGGACGCCTATGACTTGGGCTCTACTAACAATATAGTTTGATTTAGAAAATTTTACACACACAAAATATATAAATAAATAAATAACATAAAATAAAATAAAATAAGTGACAATATGTGACTAGTCAATGCTTCAAACTTGGAGCAGTTGACAGCAACCAAGATGATAGGTAACCTTGACCAACTGCATAACCTTGACCAACTGCATACTTGGGATTAGGGTTTGGACTGAAACATTCCAATTAGTAACTTACATATTGGTTTCAATTATAAGCTCAATCTAGCACTTGGGTTTAATTGGCTAAACCCAATTCTAAAACTCTGATATACACTATTCCATAAGTCCAATATGTCAATGGTCAAATTTTAATCGTTATCTCAATGATAGTAAATCACAGGTATGAGTTTTAAAGTATGAGTATTCATTTTAGTCTCAAAACATTGATAAATAAGATGATGCATAGTCTTATAGTTTTAGGGGTTAAAATTGACAAAATTAAAATTTAGAGGACAAAAGTAACATACTACATATTGTAAGGACCATGTGTAAATTTTTGTAATTATTATGTTAACGATTTACACAGTCTTCTATAATTAAATCAATTTGACTCAAATTGAAAACTTCATAAATAAATTGACAAAATTTAAATTTAGAGAAATGAAGTGACACAAAACCATATTATAAAAGACAAAAAATATATATATATATATGTAGAACACAAGATACTTTCACTAATTTCATAACATTATTTAATTATTTTAATTTAAAATTTATTTTAATCTTTTCCTCATTTTCAAAATCAAAATATTTGTACATAATATATATAACTCGACTTCCAACTCAAAGAACCAACTAATTTGGATCTCGTTTGGAGAGTAACTATTTTAATTAAAAAATTAAAAAGTTATTATAAATTGTCAAATCATTCTCTTTATTTTTTTATATATCTTTTCGTAAAACTCAAAAACTTATTAAAATAATTTGTTACAAAACAAGACCTAATATTTGTACATAAATCTTAACATCAAATAATAATGTGCAAAGAGGACATCATTTGGGTATTATAAAAACGAAATCTATTTTTAATGAAAAAGTAAAAAGGACAATCTAAACACAAAAATTTCTAAGGAATTGGCTTAGTGATTTGGATCTGAGTTTAGGAATATGTTGATTCTAGGTCTCAAGTTCAATTTTTTCAATCAACATAAAAATCTTAGAGTTACGAATTCGTAAGAAAATCTGTTTTGAAAGATTTATTTAAACGGTAAGAATTTTAAAAATAATAATAATAATTAAATAAAATAAAATTGATGGACACATTTTTAAGATCTATGGAAAGGGAAGGGAGGTCATAAATAATCGAATTAAACGACATGAATGTGCTTGGCTGTCAAACGCGGCTTTCCTTTATTCTAGCTCGACTTCCAAGATTAGTATGCACATCCACCACCTCTATAATTGCACAAAAATATTTTTAAAAAAATTAAAAAATTATTAAACTTTCTACACAACATTAATAATTTTTTTAGAATTAATTGCATCCACACACACCCACCATAGAATAGAAGAGGAAGTTCATCACACTGTACAGTAGAAACAGATATTTACATGATTAGTGTGAAATGAGTCATTGGTCTACAATTCGGAATTTCCAAACTTGAGAAGATGGATGGAAAAGTAGAACCAGTTTGACTGGAAATTCTGAAAGTGAGTCCAAGAGCTCAACCTAAAAAGCCTTCTACCATCAATGGATTAAAAATATTTATAAAAAAAATATTAACGGTCTATTTAGCTTGCATGTATTTTAAAAGCATGAATACATCCTAGAAATCAATTGTCATAGCAATCCCCACCAAATACTCACATATCAATTTTATCTCATAGAACAGTCCTTTTAATGTGTAATGGATTTGATTTTTATAAAATATAATTGGGTAGTTTTTGTTGTGTGAATACAAAATATTTTTCTATATTGTTCAAAAGCAAATGGATTCCTAGCTGATAAGTTTTCTTTTCAGTACATTAGTAGAAAATATATTGTAATTTAGACTTAAATGACAAATAGTTTGCCTCGTGAATATGTTATTCATACTTTTAGGGAAGAGAAGGGGATGGAATGGTTATGTGTCCTACTATTAGACAAACGCATGATCACATGATAGATCGGACTTATTAAATAACTTGTCATATAGTGAAAGTTGTAATTTAATAAATCAGAAATCTTAACTGTAACAAGATTTGAATCAATCTTACCTTTGACACAAGGTTAGACTAGTCTTCTTAGAAGTGTGTAATCTTGAGTTTAATTCTTTTTAGTATCTCCTTAATTTAATTGACATTTGTAATTTGTGGGTATTTGAAGGGATCAGGGTTTGTTTACCCTACAGGTGTGTCCCATATAATCCTTGCCTTAAAAAATAAAAATAAAAAATGAACACCCACCACTATATGACTTTAATTGCATCCACACACCATAAAAAACCAAGTTTTCCACATGATGAGCATGAAACTTTGATGCGTCATGGGGTCTACAAATTGGAATTTCCAAACTTGAGAAGAAGGCTGGAAAAATAGAACCACTTTGACTGGAAATTCTGAAAAATGAGTCCAAAGGCTCTAATTAAAATTGGCTTCTCACCAACATTATAGGTCAAAAAACACTATCACTGGCCCAGTTAGCATGCATGTATTTTGGAAGTATCATTACCTCTTAGAAATCAATTGTCATAGCAATTCCCTTTACACATAATCTCATCAATTTCACCTCTATCAGGTTAGACTAGTAATCTTTTTGAGAATTTGTAACAGATTTGATTTTTACGAGGCAAATGCTAACAAGTATTTTTAAATACTGGTTGAAGTTACAAAACTCTGTGTTGGTTTATAAACTAGAAAGGCAATGGTTTCACAGAGTGGAACAGAGTAATAAAACATTACAAAGTCCAGAGACAACCTTGGCCCTCATCTTTCTCTCCTACCAATGTGGGTTGTTTGAGCTTATTAATTCTGCGAAAGCATTTCCAGACTGTTTTACTTCATAGTTTTGTTTATGGAGTGGTCCCTGTAAGCCAATACCCAGTAGGTAACCAATCAAATGCTTACCTATTTGCATGATAATATCCAGCTGGAACCTCGAACTCCTCTCCAATCAAGAGAGTTGGCACGGATCTTCCATCTCCAAATTCTTCTGTCTTCTTGATCTAAAACATAGTCGTTGAATTACATCTTCAGATTCTCACATAATTTAATGAGAATTAATATTTTGAGATATGAAGACAAGAATTTAAAGATAAAAAAATCCTTGGTCGGTTTGCAAAAGAAGGGGGTCCAAGAAGCACAAGAAGTAGGGCCTATGGGCCAACCATAGTTGGAGAAGCAGAGCACCAAGACTCCAATTGGGAGCCCAGACAGAGTGGGGCTCTCATACAAGAAAGAAACTTGAAGTGAAGTTTGAATGGAAAATGTTTATGAAAAACATTTAATATTATCAATGTCACACATTACAATTTTGAACAACCCTGAGAAAACTAATTGAAGGCAGAGTCAATTCCAGTGCTTACAGGCATTTTTTTCATGTGCATCATCAATCTGTTTGAATAGATGTGTGATTCCAGTAAGAACTCATTAGAACAAGTCATGAAAAGATTACTAAAAAAAGTTAACACATTTAGAAAATGCTGCACAATATAACAATCCAACAACTTTCCCGATACTACACACACTAGGCAAGATGAGGCGATGTCATTTATTACAGGAATCTTTATCATGTTTGTTGACCTGCATGAAATAAGAGTGCTCACTTGAGAAATGTCGAAATGCTGGATTGTCTGACGGAGATGCACGCTAACAAGTGAGATGATCAGAGTGTTGTAAAAAGAGCATGGAAGAGTGGAACATATGTCATCTCCGATTTTATTGTTCTCAGATAGGCATGCCCTTTGGAACAATTTGATCCTTGAGCCACATGTAAATTGGTACCAGCACAAAGTAGGTCGCTGCCATAGCACCAAGAAGGAACCGCAAGAAGAATACAAATGGATTTACAGGCTTCTCCACGTCCTCTGCCTTCGGACCAAGCTGCACACCAAGACACATCTCAGAAATAATCTAACAAGAGAATGAACACGAGAAAACACCAAAGGAAAGAAATCATGCTAAGTGTCGAATCAAGAAAAACAAATCCTATGCAAAATATAGTATTACAAAGCAGAGCTTTAGTGATTATAGTCGTTTACATCTAATTTAAGGATAGCAATCTTGCAGACCAGTTCTAGAAATCAAAGTCGAATCACATCTACTCGTGTTCTACAATTTGCTCATAAATTAAAAAAACTGGGGCATTAATTTATAAATTCATTATGCATCTCACATTCAGTAACATATGTGCATGCACATTTCCAGCATCATTCATTAACCTCAATAACCAAGAGAATGTCTCCTCATGTTCTCTAATCCATCTCCCTAAGTTTTTAACTCCAGCAACAACAGATTAATACGAGGAAGATATAAAAATCACTGAAAAGTTTTTCAGATGAGGGAATTAAACAGAGGAGGAGGCTGGGTGAGAACTTATTTTATTATTTTACCCAACAGTTGAGCTGCTGATTCTGCTTTTTTATTCATTATAAGGTCCTGAAATGCTTCAGATTAATCCCAATGCCAGGAACTCTGCTACCTGTTTATTGCTCTTTCAAAAGAATAAACAAAAACTGAAACAAAATGTACTTAACCATTTTATGTCAACGCTCTTGAACTATCCAGCAATGTTTCTCTCTTTTATTGCAATCTCAATGTTTTTTGGGAGCCTACAGCGGTCAAATCAAATATCTATCTTTTGTCCCATGGCCAAAAATTGATTTTGATGTCCATTGTGATGAATTGGGCTGCACCTGCATGCCTTGTTCCCTCATAGTGCATTCATAACAAGATTTAGTTAACATTTATCTATCAATCCCAAGGGGCCAAATTAGAGAGCTTGATAACATTGTTGGCCCATTTCTTAATAGCTTAAACTTTTGGATCAATTAATGAACTAACATGGCATGAGAGGCCCAATTGCAAAAGGTCTTGGGTTCAGTCTCATAATATGTATTTGTTCCCCTGTTATGATTATTATTATGCACTCCTTCATGTGTGTATGAACACCTTATTCAGTTTTCTTTGTTTGCATCTCCAAATGTGAGACTAGGCTGCACATGAGGGGTATTTTAATGTAGATTGTTGAGCTCATTTCCTATCAATTTAAGCTTTTCAGACAATTGGTAACGCAGTAAGTCCACCTTAAAATCCTTCTTAGATTCATAGTTTTATGCATTCAGCCTTCATCATATGATTAAAATAAAATTTTGCACATACATATGTTGTACCCAAAACTCATTTTCTGTAACATGAAACCTTTAAGCAAACCCCAAAATATTCACACACTACTATGTCCTTTCCTTCGATGGAACTTATAAGTATTAAATTCCCAAAGAAAGATTTCACCATGCATCCGTTGATCATCCATACTCACAGAACTAAAAAAATTCTGAATAAGGATGACAATGGCCCTGTTTGGTAGAGCTGTGGGAAAGTGCTTATAGCTTATGCCTAAACAGCTTATAGCTTATAACTATGAACATAAGCTGATTTCTGACTTATAAATTAAGCATCTCCTGCCCCACTCAAAGAATAAGCTGATTTCTGACTTCCAAAAAGCTATAAGCTATAAGGTATAAGCTAAACCAAACACATCAAAATAAGCTGAAAGCTGAAATAAGCTGCTTTTAAGTTCTGCCAAACAGGCACAATATTTACAACATTCTAACCATGTAATAATTGTGCTTAAATAGTAAACAAATTGCCAAAAGTTACCTATAAGTCAGTCAAGTGTGTATCATGGTGTAAAACCATAAAAAATAGACAATACCAAATGGAAATTTTTTCTAAAGTTCAATTTCCTGAGTAAGAATTACATTACCTGTAGGGGAGAGTCCCCTGAGAAAGGCTTCACGCCTGTGATAGAGCATCCCATAATCAAGCCATGCCTGCGAACACCACGGTACCATTTCGGACCAATCCTTTTCAGTTCAACATCTTTGAAACCAGCCTTTTGAAACCACTCAATATACTCATCCTCCTTTGGGAAAAGCATCCACATATCAGCAAAAAACCGAGACAACCAGAAGGTTGGGTACACAGGACCAATTATGCACGCTTTTCCTCCTATTTTCAGTACCCTGTATGCTTCCTTGATGCCACGCTGTGGATCTGGCCAGTACTCAATACTGGAGAAGACAGTCATATTACATTAGTGGCTATGATGAATAAAGCATGCTGCTCATTAAAATTTGCAAGACCAGTAAGCAATATTGTTACAAAATTATATGATGTGAGCTGGATGTAGTCATTCAGTACATCGTGAGAAAGAGAGAGAGAGAGAAAGAGAGAGAGAGAGAGAGAGAGAGAGAGTGGTGACTCCTACCTGTTTCCCTGGAAAATTGCATCCAAAAAATTATAAAGGGAGCAAGCATTCTTCAAGGTAAGTTTTATACTTTTATGCTTTACAAGAACAACAACAGGGGTCAATTCTAAGGTAAACTACCAATAGTTCCTAATAATTAGACTTAATTCCCATCAAGTCCTATTGAAAATAAGTCATAATAAAATCATTTTTAAAAATAAATTTTTGTGACGATTTTTGGCATATGTCACTAAAAATTGACAATTAGTGACTTTTTTTTGTAACGGTTTTTATAAATTGTCACTAAAAATTACAATTAGTGACTTTTTGACGAATTTTTCAAACTATCGCTGAAAATTGAAAATTAGTTAAGTTCTTTTGTAACAATTTTTTTAAATTGTCACTAAAATTTATAATTAGTGACATTTTGTGTAACAAACTTTTCAAACTGCTACTGAAACTTAACAATTAGTGACGTTTTTTAATAGTATTTGATAAAAAAAAGTCATTAATTTTCATAGGACCTATTGAACAATAAGTTCACCTGTTAGAACCTACACGTAAAGTCTCCCTTTTTCTAATATGTCAAAGGGCTTGGTAACAAGTGCCGTAAGGGCATTGGTTAACAAAGCTTAAAATGGTTGAACATTTTTTATTGCATTCACTCTATTAATGAATGTACAACTATTCCAAGTTTATTAACAAACTATAACCCATGTCAAATGCAGCCACAGTTCAGGCTTGCAATTTTTATCATCAATAAAACTAAAATGTGAAATTATGAAAATACATTAATGACAAGGGGGTAGAACGTTAAAATTTTCAATTGTCATATATGTGTTTGTCTTGTGCCGGAATCCAAAAAACAATTTAATAAGCTCACAAAAAAAACAAATTATATATATTATAAGTCATTACAACACGTATCATAGAACTTATTCTCTAACAATCAAATACACACCCAAAATTAGCTAACAAAATATACTGTACAGGGACTGCAAATGTCAATCACAATATGTAAACCATACGTTGACAGGGAACTCAAGAGTACTACCTTCCAGCAGAGATATATCGATCAGCGTAATCAGTTGGAAACGGAAGATCCTCCGCGTCACCCTCAATTATCTTGCATTCTTTCAAAGCCTCCTTCTGCGTTGCCTTGGCAAGCTGGTGAGGTGACTGGTCAAGAATTGTCACATTTTTAGCATCAACATGTTTGACTATACCAAGAGTGGTGAAACCAGTGCCCCCACCAACATCAACCACTCTCATGTTTCGATCATAGAGATCGGCTGGCTCAAGTGCCTCATCGCGCATATCCTCAGTCCAATGCCCAGGGTTTATGACATGATCATACACTATGGATAGAAACCTATAGAACCAGAATGCTTCTTTCTTATGTTGTATGAACCTAGGCTGAGAAGCAGGCCTTGAGGCAGAGAGACTGCATTTGGGTGCTAAACTCTTGACACTTGAATTCCTAATTTGGGGCACTAGGACCTTATTAGGAAAGAACCTCCCACGAAAATCAGACCCAAGAAAACCTAACCCAGTTGGAGCTATGCCTCCAACAAGTTTGAGATTTTCAGCTCCATTGAGCATTGAAAAAGCCATGGAAGAACAAATACAGAGCAAACCCACTCAAAATTTTTGTAAATTACTTACTATCTGCAACTGTTGAGGGTTAGAGAGCAAAACCCACATGCTAGATCATGAGGGTTTCAATTATACATACAGTATAAATCTTGAATGAAAGGATAAATGAATGAAAAGAGGCTTACCAATTTGATTGAATTTAGAAGAGAGTGGAGTTGGGGAGAAGTAAAAAGATAGTGACTTGAGAAGTGGTTATAATCACTGTATTAGAGAGAGAGAGAGAGACAGAGAGAGAGAGGTTCGCCAGGAGCTTTGTGTTGATCTCCAGAAGCTGAAGAGGTACTACTACCACATGTTGGGCGTACTGAGGAGATTGAAATTTCAGAGGATTGGGGGATTTAACGGCCTCAATACGACGGCGTTTGAGTGACAATTGTTTTTAAATTTTTTTATTTTTGAAAACAAAAATAATAAAATTTTGAAAGTATTTATGCCTTTTTTTTTTTTTTTTGGACATTTACACACGAATTTTAATTTAGAAATTTATGTTTCATTAAGTTCTAACTAAGATATTTTAGACCTTCAAGTTCCATTAAATTTTTAATAATCAGAATTGCCTTTCAAATAATGTTGTTCATCATTTATGATTATTTATAAAGAAACATGATGATTTGACATGTTTTTTGATTTTCAAAACTTTAAAATATCAACTTTCAAATTGAAAAAACTAAAAAAAAATTATGTTTTTTGAAAAAATTGAAGAAATTGAATTATTTTTTGTACAAAACTAAAAATTTTGTGTCTATAAAGGAGCATGATAACATTGATGTGCAAAATTGAAAAAAGAAACTTTAAAAATAAAAAAAAAAATTTGATAATATTCTCAATTTTAAAATTGAAAAAAAAAACTATTTATGTTCTCTGTCGGTTTTATTAGAAAGTTTAATCAAAATCAATAAGTAAAAAGGTAAAAACATTTAATCCATACTCTGTTTTTTCATCAGGTAGTAAAATAATTATCTAAAATATTACAATGCAAAATTAATAATGTTCTTAGTTTTTAAAAATTAAAAAAAAATAATAATATTATCAATTTTAAAAAAAAAAAAAAAAAACTGATAATATTCTCAGTTTCACTAAATAGAACTTATTGGTTTAAAGAAATTTAAATAGAACATGAGCTACCATAACATTTGTAAATAGGATTTTAGGTAATTAATTTTTTTTTTTTTTTTTTTTGGGTTCAGAAATAATTTCTACAAAAATCAAAAACAAGTTCTGATCTTTCTTAAAAAGTAGGTGGTTTTTTTAAAAACAAAAAACAAAAAATTGAAAACAGCTCAAAATCAAATTTTGTTTTTCAGAAAATAAAAACATAACCGAACATTGCCATGTAGTAGAACATTTGAATTTTGATCTTTATTAGCCATCTTAAAAAAATTAAGAAGAAAATGTTGTGAGTTGCGATCATATCCGCTCACAGATCAAACCAGAACTAGTGATGAAATGATATAGAATTGAAATGTCCGAACCAGCTATAAGGAAACAACATCAAATTTTATTGCAGCAATACTGTTTCACCTTGATGATACAACTATATTTAAGAATACAGATTTTGTTTATAAAATAAAAATAAAAACTGGTCTTATTAGCTTTTTATTACAGTGTAAACATAGAAAAAAAGATTCATATCTCATGACCATTCAGATGGGTTTTGAACTTCGCGGAGCTGGACTGAGTTGTCGAGGCAATGTTGAAAACCGAAGTGTGGGTATCTCTCATACCACGTGTCTTCCTTGACGTGCGTATCCCAGTGTTCGCCGCAGCTGCTTTTCCCATACTTGTGCACCCATCCAGAACCGTTGTGACCCTCACCCCAAGTCCGATTCCAACGCTCCCCATACTCACCTTCCCACCATGTCTCCCCTTGCTTGACTCCATGACTGTTTGAATCAAAGTGCTCGTCCCATTTGTCACCCCATTTTGTCCAGCCATCACCCTCAGAACGCTCAGCCCATTTGTCACTGTATTTCATGCTGCTACCCTTCCCATCATACTTCTCACCCCACCTGCCAAAAAATACTTACTATAAGTGAAAAGTTTTAGCTGATTATACCGTACAGAACAATTTGGAATATCTAATGATTAGAGTTTTCCAAGTCGTTACTGTGATAGTGAACTACGAGAATTTCGACAGGACGAGTAGGCATTATAAAACATCAATCCAGGTGTGTGAAGAAAAAAAAATGTGTGATTGCACCTCTGAAGTTCTTCTCGGTTAAATCTCATAGGAGGGTTACTCAAAACACCCTATAACTGATGAGTGAGGAGTAAAAATCGCCTTGCTATCAGGATGACAACCACCACCAGATAAATAAATAAATGGAAACAAAAATGCTGAAGAATCTGACTCTTTGAATTTTATCAGGACTAATAAGAGCAATAATGATGGATAAATTAGAATGGTCACTAGATCCAAATCTAAGAAAATAACAGAACGTTGTAGGACTTGTACTTTGCCACAGTTAAGCAAAGACAACTATGATCTTAATTCATGCCAAGAAAAACCAATTTAAGGGTCATCCATTGAGAATGATGACTGATTTGGGATAGTAACTAGAACCATATCCAAAGAACAAAGAATCAGAACAAAAATCTAAACCCAGCTCGAAAATGAGTAGATTTAATACCTTTCATGCCAAACATGAGCATGACCAGCTTCAAGGGGTGTGCTGGGGTCAATGCTGCACCACTTATGGGCCCATTTCTCTGCTTGGCCGGATTCATCATATTGTTCCCACCATTTCTCCTGCCACTCATTACCTTTCCCGTTCTTCCCCCACTTGTCCGCAGTTTTCTCAAGATGCACAACTCCACAATCCTGCAAAAAGCACAATATACAACCAAACCACAATCAAATACAATTCTTTGAAGTATTTTGTGGAATCTATACATCTTCACGCATAAACAATTAAACCTGCCACAAAACCAGTTTGATTTATCTCGAGGAGAATTAGGAAAGCCAGAGGTGAGTGAGGTCATTTTTGTTTAACTTGAGCACGGGCCAAAAAAAATTCTAAGGTAGGAACTATATAATGAATTGCATGTAACTAGGGCCAAAAAAATGTAAATCAAAAAGATTCTAAGGCTTTTTTTTAATACTAATTTTATGATTTTTCATGCAATTTGTTCCGTAGACTTCTTGTTCACAAAAATTTTATTTGCAAAATATTTTGCATGCTACATTGTGCTATTCTAAAAATTACAACAGGACCATCCGAAAAAAAAAAGGTGTCAAATTCGGTGATCTACTCATATTCATAGTATAAATATAAAGAATTCAAGGAAACTTCATATAAGATTGCGGCTGCAAATCCCTTCCAAAATATTCATCTATGTACCGTAGTCATTGGTGCTAGAGGGTTGGAACTTGGAGAGTGGGTGGATGCTTTAAAAACTCAAACCATTAACACAGACATCATGTAATGTTGATCTATACAGAGCACTCTGACCTGCCACATTGATTCTTTCCAAAATTCACGCCAAACATTTCCAGTAGCATCACGTCCTGATTTCTCTGAACCAAGCTCCTTGTAGTCAAATTGGTTAGCCGCCTCCCAATACTTCTCCTCCCACTCAAGGGACTTGTCAGCACTGACACCCCGGGTAAGCGTCCACCTGCAAACCACACCATCAGGTCTTTCTTCAACTCCTGTCTCCTTCCACCATTTTGATCCATCAGGATTCACTCCTTGGGATAATACCTCCTCATCCCCTTCATTAAGAGCATAAGCTGCTTCTGCTGCATGGGCCGAAAATAGAACACCAAGTTCATGGTTCTCTTCTACATGAGCCATCTCTTGACTGGAAGTATAAGCTTCCACTTTCTCAACCTCCATTAGGGACTGAAGAGGTGGAAGAGGAGGGTAGTGGTTGCTTTCGAAAAGTTTACTCTCAAGGGGGATTGACAGAAAATCTACAGATTGTTCTTTCTCCATCACAGGGTCTGTTTTGGAAGGATAAGTTTGTCTGGTTAGCTTCAGGTTACTCTCATCATCAAAATTTCTCTCACTTTCTGGAGGTGTCCAGGACCAAAAATCTGGACCTGGTGTTCCCTTTGCAACACCACTTGACTGAAAAATTATCGAGCCCTCATTCTGTGCACCTGTCAAAATTAAAGATTATGAAACAATACTACAATTACACCAAATAAACACCAATAATTGACTAAAATAAGCAAGTTAAAGAAATTAGACCACATAACATAATAGTTAAACTTGCAATGCATCACGCATATGTTCCATAAGTCAGAGAATACTTGCTTTCAATTTACTAATACAGAAATATGCATTATCAAAAAATAATTAACAGCATGACCAAAAGAAGTTGTCCATTTCCTAATCAGACGACAGTCCTGAAATTCAAGTCAGCAATGAAAAACTCCAAACAGCACAAAAGACAATATCCAGCAATCACTTGGTCAGATAACAATTTTCAAACTATAAGAAAGTAGTTAGTCAAACAAGCTACAAGTAGATGACAGGAAAATGCACTTTTAAGTAGTCACACTCATTTTCTACGATAAAACAAATACCTTATCGAATACAGGAAATTAAGCCACGATAACATAAAATATGACAATGCTACAAGTAATGCTTCCAATTTGAACATGTGCTTGTGAAATTTAGAACAAGAAATTAAAAAAAGTCCTGCTATCATGAGATCATTTAATTACTTCCAAGCTAACAAATAAATCTTCAATGTAATAGATGATAAATTAAAGGCATCAGTTTCTGTTAGAATTTACCATACACTCACTCCACCTACCACCTCCACTATCCCTTCACCTACTACTATCTTCTCTTCTATATATAGGAGTTATATAGGAGTTGTAAAATATCAATACAATCAATAATAATACATCAGTTATTTTACATAAACCTCTCAAACAAACTCTGCTACCCAACTACTATGAGTGTAATGTTTTTGATGAAGCAGCATACTCAGATGCTGACTCTGTTGATTTGGATTTTTTGATTGATTTGTACTATGATCACAAGTGTCCATATCCTGATTATGAGTTGCTTGATTTGGGCAATGGATGTCTTTGCCTACTCACCATCCAGTGCCCTCTACCACGTTATGGCACCACCTTTCAGTGTTTTCACCAACGGTCTGACACGACCATACAGTGTCTCCTATCTTTTTTTTTATTATTTTTATGTATTTTCTTGTTTTGTAACTCTCTCCAAACTCAAGTTGGTTAGTTTCTATCCTCCTTGAGTTTGCGGGGGGCTGTTAGAATTTACCATACACTCACTCCACCTACCACCTCCACTATCCCTTCACCTACTACTATCTTCTCTTCTATATATAGGAGTTATATAGGAGTTGTAAAATATCAATCAATCAATACAACAATCAAGAATAATACATCAGTTATTTTAACAGTTTCAGCAGCCAAAATCATCTCAGAAACAATGGGAAGGTAAATTTAGCACCCCAAAAAAAGAACACCATGTGAGATCCATAACTCCTCCTAGTTGAGATTGAAGTTCTGAAATTAGGAGAGAGGGCATTGGGATTCTCTAACTTTTTATGATGTTTGAAGAAGAAAAATCCCACATTTCGTAGTGAAAAAACCCACATTTTCTTTAACATATACATTCTGGGTTACAATCAGTGATATGGTTTGTTAAGCATACACACATAAAAGCAACAATTACATATTAGAAACTTTGTTCTCAGCTATGGTGAACATGCCCAAATTGGAAGCTTAAATTTTTGGAAGATATACACAATTGACAATACCATCAACTCAGCCAAGTAAGGAAAGAATTCAAAAGCTATGAAATACCTCTTTGCTGAGCCTCTATGTCTCCACCATTCTCAGCACTTGAAATCACAGTCCCAGAATCACCGGAAAACTCATTCGGCGGCAGCGGCAAACTCTCCTTGAGAAGCGCACGGGCAGCCGATATAGCAGCAGCTGCCCGATCGATCACCTGCATTCGCTGAATTCTGTCCCTCTCTTCCTTAGGAACTTCCAAAATCTTCTGGAACTCATTGCTCTTCCTCTCAAAAACCTCCCGACTCTCACCTTCTCCATCATCATCATCAGCATCACCATCAATTCGTGACGAGTTCTCGGCGATTCTCTGGAACTCGGAAGCCTTCCTCTCTCGATCCACCGCCTTCTTCCACATGTCGAGGTACGAGTCCCCTCCATTGGAAACCCTAATTCCGGAGCTCTGTCTCGCTCCGGCTCTGCTCTTCCCGGTTGGTTTCGAGTAGTTCGGGAGTACAATGGTGGTGGATATAAGGGAGTATTCGGAGGAGGCGCGTGGGGTGGCTCGTGGGTATACACGGAAGTGCGACGCCATTTCCTCAGTTCAAAGCCACAGAGAGAGAGAGAGAGAGAGAGAGAGAGAAAGAAGACGGTGGATTTGAAAGCTTTGAAGTTAAAGAGTCTCCGTGTCCGTTAAAGGAGGTGCGAACCGTGCCACTGGGCTTTCGTGAACTCTGTTTTTTCTCAAGAATTATAATTAAGTTATTGGGAAGATTTTAAAATAAAATTAGGCACCATAGTTCTTGAAAATGATAATTGGGCCAAAAAAAAAATCAAAAGGTGATAATCAAAGTAAATTTTGAGAGAGATGGGTTGTTTAGTGCAGCTTTGCCAAACTAAAATGTTGATTAAAACTCTTCTTTCTTTTTAACTTTTTAATTATCATTATTCGAGTTGTATTAAATATTTTCGTACAAATTCTCGAATTAAAAAATATAAGCATCCTTATAAATTGCACTGAACTATAATGAAAATAGATGAATAATTGTAGGCGTGGTTATTAACTTATCGGTAATGTATTATTTTTTTATTTAAAAAATTAAAAAAAAATTAAAATTGAGACAGAAGTGAAAAATAATTAAGCATGAACTACATACAAGTGATTGTAAAGAGTACGATGGAGGAAGAGGTTAGTTATGATGCAGACAAGAAATAGAATAAAGGTGCGTCATTATTTTTTTGGGTGAATAAGATGCATCATGGTGCTTGGTGGTTTTGGTGAGTGATGGTCGATAGAAACCAAATGAGATAAGTTTAGGGGTTGTTTGGGATGATCTAAATAAGTGTATTTTTTGTCTTTTTATGAAAAGATGTGTAAAAAAATAGAGAAGTGTGATGAAAAGAAGATAAAAAGAAAAATTATTTTTGAGTTGCCAAACTTGATCTAAATAATCATTAGTTAATGGTGAAGCAAGATGTGATTGTGGGTTAGGGTGATAGTTAAAAGGTGGTGTCTTCTTTCTCATTTGTAGAAGAGATGTAAAATATGTGACAGATGAAAAATGAATAATTTTAGTTTAATAATTTCACCAGTAAAATTGACACTCCATAAAATATTATTATTTTTATCAACAGTAATCATCAAGTTAATTAATGAAACCAAACTGAGGCGACAATGTGGGTGCTTGGTGGTTTTGGTGAGTGATGGTTGATAGAAACCAAATGAGATAAGTTTAGGGGTTGTTTGGGATGATCTAAATAAATGTATTTTTTGTCTTTTTATGAAAAGATGTGTAAAAAAATAGAGAGGTGTGATGAAAAGAAGATAAAAAGAAAAATTATTTTTGAGTTGCCAAACTTAATCTAAATAATCATTAGTTAATGGTGAAGCAAGATGTGGTTGTGGGTTAGGGTGATAGTTAAAAGGTGGTGTCTTCTTTCTCATTTGTAGAAGAGATGTAAAATATGTGACAGATGAAAAATGAATAATTTTAGTTTAATAATTTCACCAGTAAAATTGACACTCCATAAAATATTATTATTTTTATCAACAGTAATCAGCAAGTTAATTAATGAAACCAAACTGAGGTGACAATGTGTAATACCACAATTAATTTTTTAAAAATGTTTGGGAGTACTAAAAATAAAGCACTATGGGGAGCTCTAATGAGCTAGCACCTCCCATGACGTGATGGTTGTTTTTGTGCTTTTTGTTGGAAATGGTTATAAATTCTGGGTAAAATTAGAATTTTTTTCTAAATTCGGTCTATTTTTTAGGTGGGCCCCGAGTGTCGATTTACTCGGGTCAAAATGGTAACGCGTTCTATGCCGCGTTGTGATTCACGTGGTATATTTGGTTGCTCAAAACCATTACCGAGTGAATGAAAAATTGAAGCCAAAGTGTGCTCCATGGAAATGGAGTTATAGTGGAAATTCCTTAAAGCTGTAAATTGGCTTATCCCACATTGATTTGGTGGGAAGTTTTGAAAGGGTTTATAAGACTTAGGGTAAGATACTTGGGGTGTGCCCCAAGGGGTACCCAAGTGTTTTAGAGGGAGAGGTTATGGGCCAAAATGGGCTAGACCCATTGGACCCAAAAATCACCACACGCGCACCGCCGTCCGATCTGGCAGGCTAGGCGCAGGTGCGTGTGGGTTGGGCTTTTAATCTTTTTGGGCCAAAAACATTTGAATTTTATTTTATTTTTTATTAAAATAAAATCCAGAATTCAAATTAAACTGGTTTGGATTTATTGTTCATCCAAACAGGGCCCTTCCCGTTTTCAAACAGAATTAAACTGTTTTGGATTTATTACTCATCCAAACAGAGCCCTTCCCATTTTCAAACAGAATTAAACTGTTTTGGATTTATTGCTCATCTAAACAAAGCCCTTCCCGTTTCTATCTGTTTGAATAAACAGATTCAAATCTGTTTAAATTTGAATCTAACAAGTTTCATACCTGTTCAATTCAAAACCAAAAGCCACCTTTACATCTATAAATAGACTAGCCTCCCATTTGGATTTTACTCAGATTTTTCATACTCCATCCTCTGCAAATTATATTCTTCATCTTGCTGCATTTTATTTCCGAAAGAAATAGTGTAAACACTTAGTGTGTTCGTAAGACAAACAATTTTATTTCCGAAAGAAGTGTAAACACTTAGTGTGTTCGTAAGGCAAACAATTTGTAGTGCTGCTATTGTTTGTGGTAAGATCATTTCATCCTGGGAGATAGACGTCCAAATTCTGAAAGCACCGTGGAGAGGACGAATCTGTCTTAAGGACACAGTGTTAAACACTGGACTTGATCAGAAAAGTTATTCAAATAAATTAACCAAGTAAGTTGTTTAATTTTATTCTGTTTTTATTTGTTTATTTAATCAGATTTTATTTTTATTTTTGTAACAAAATAAAATCTGTGGTTTTATTTATTTATTTTTATTTCGAGTTTGATTTTTGTAATCAAACAAATTCTCTCCTTTTCTCTATTTCTTTTATTCTTGTTGTTGTTTTGTACACAACAGAATTTAATCTTTTTAAATACAGTGAAGATTGTCCAACACTTTTTTATTTTTTTTCTTTTTTTCCATTTTCAGCTCATTAGAGCTGGTTTTATGCTCTATTTTTAGAGCTCTGAATCAGCTCTGTTAATTTTTTTTTTGTATTATCAGTCAAAAATTTCAAATGTTTGTATAATTTTTCCCATAACATATAAAAACTTATTGAATAATATTATATGTATCAATTAGTATATTAATTAGTGTACCAATTGATGATGTGGCGTAATTTAATGAGTGAGTTTAATAATAATGCCATAACTAGTGTTGATACACTAGTTAGTATACTAATCGGTGCATGTAGCATTACCGAAACTTCTTACATTATATATTACATTCATGATATAATTCAAAACTAAGATTTACTGACTATGATTTTTAGAAAATATTTATTCTTGAATTTATTATAGAATTATGTTCAATGCATTAATATTAATTAATTAAAAAAAACTTTATAAAAAACAAAAAAGGTAAAGTTAATTTCTTGAATTTGAAGGAAAGTAGCGATGCTGTCTTTCCCTCTCCACCACTCTCTGCATTGGGAATGGTCCAGTTTTCAACGGATTTTTTTAATAATGAAAAGTGTAATGTTAATGAATATTGAGGCTGTGTTTGGTTAAGCTTTTGAAATGTGATTATATATGTTAGTTTTAGATTCATGTTTGGTAAGAGTTTTAAAATTAAGGGCAAATTACATATACACCTCTCGAGATTTGGCTAAATTACAGATGTCTCCCTGAGGTTTGAGAAATTACGAATTCCCCCCTGAATGCTATATTTGCATAAGAAATTAGGGGGTAATTTGTTATGAAATATAAACCTCAGAGGGCAAATTGTTATGAAAATACAAACCTCAGCCAAACCCAACCCAAACCCACCAATAAGTCAAAAAGTGCACTTTTTTAGGACATCCCAAACCAACCCTTAAGTTTCATGTTTGGTAAGAGTTTTAAAATTAATTTTTTAAAATTCTGCCGAAAGCTCTGTTCATTCTGCGCGTTTCTTGTATTTTTTTTGGCCAGGGGAAGGCCGCCCAGTCGTTCCTAGGGACTATCACCCGGACGTCCTTGGGGACATCCACCAGGACGTCCTCTGTTGTACAGATTTATTTATTTTTTTTTTTTTGCAATTGATTTATATAATTGGGAAAAATATTTTCTGAAATTTTTTTAATTTTTAATGTGCTTTAAAATAATTTTGAGTTGTATGTTTAGTTAAATCAAACCTTTTTTTTAAAACTATTTTCAAAACTCTTTACCAAATAAATTTTCTACATTCAAATCATAATTTTACAACACACAAACTCAAAATATAACTCATACTTTCAAATCACATTTACAAAACACAACCAACCGTAACCTAATTTTTTTATTAAAAGATATCGCAAAAGAGAGTAGAGGTGGGTTTGACACGTGGCTGCTGTGCTATGGAAAACTTGTGAATCGACCAGGCGTTGATGTTGCATACGCATATAAAATGGGAGCCCCACAATTCAGGTCGGTCTGAACAAAATATGATTGCTTGTTTGACATGTATTAGAAAAATATATATTTTTTTACATATATATATTTATTTAAGTCATATTAAATAATATGACAATGCTACGTAGTTCAAATTTTGTAACTTAAAAGTGGTTTAAATGGCCAAAACGACGTCGTTTTGAGTACAGAACAACATAAAAATAGTTAAACCAGCAAATCATTCAAATCAAAAACAATTTAGCTTAATTAGTTAGGTCAAAAGACCAACCAACTTACACAAAAATTAATTCATTAAAACTTTTAAATTTTATTTTATTAAAATTTAAACTGTCACTAAATATTGAAAGCAATCTATTAATTTAAATTTAAAATTGATACAATATAAATTTAAAATTATAATAATCTATCTCATAATTTATAAGTTTTAAATACAAATTTAAGATTATCATAATTTTTGTATTAAGGAGCAGTAAGAGTGACATTGAGATTATCGATATATCTATATATTTTATAAAAAAAAATACTTTTAAAGAGAGATCTAATGAGAGTTTCAAAATATCATACAAAATTATTTTTAAAATCATAACCTATATGCGGGATTATAAAATAAAAGTTAGATGGAAGCTAGTCAATGGAGATTTTCTTAATTGTTTAAAATTAAGAAAATTAAAAAAAAAAATTAGTATG